CAGAAACAGTGAAAACTAATTATACATAGAATAGACTAGTTATGGATAAAGGGGGAGTTGCTCAAGAGAGCCTATTTAAATTTGACCTGATCATTCCAATGGGGAAAAGTAGAAAGCAGTTTTAATTATTTTTCTTTTGACTAATTATCCCAGCTTTCTTTTTTGTTGTGTACGTGTTAGAATTCATGATGAATCTCTTCCATGCACGTTTTAAAAAGTTGAAGTTAGCCGAAGACCGTTAACTGAATTTCTTTTTTGAAATGTAATTTTACTCAAAATAATAAAGATACACGAATTAATGTTGACTGGATTGACCTCATAATATAAAGAAATTAATACTGAATATCAACTGGTTAGATCTATCAGTAAATTATAATAAAATGTATATGAAGATAGAACATACACCGAGTTCTAATGATAAAAAATTGAAGGACACACTTATAATTAAGTGCACAAATAAATTTTTTGCAACACATTTATAATTAATAGATAACTTCATTCGATCGAGATCAAGAGACTCATAATACAAATGGCTCTTTTAACTGAATTTTTGGACCCGTTTAGTTCGTTGATTCAAGTTTTTAATTCGGGTTGATATGTGATTTTATGTGAGAACTTTTTACTGTAGTAAAAAAGTTAGATGTGACTGATTCTGAAAGCTTTTTACTGTAACAAAATTCAAATTCTAAACTCGAATCAGTGAAATGAACGGGGCCTTTGTATATTCAATTAACGTATCGACCTTTTGTATTGCTCACCCTCAAATTTTAAAAACAAAACATAATATAAATGATAGATAAATAAACGCCACATCCTTTCTCTTTGTTCTCCCTTCAAATCTTGGAGATATTTCAAGTATTTATATTTCATATCTCAATATGTATACTTCCTATGCACGTAGTTTCTCAAATCATATCACTATTAACCTAGCACAATAACAATTCTTGTCTTTTTTTCTTTTTTTTTCCCCTTAGAGATACACTTTTACATCGTATAAATAAAAGTTAAGGAGAGAAAACTAAAAATGTTATCATTAAAGTAATACTATTTTATATTTATGTTATTGTTGTAAATTTATCTCATACCACTAATAATTTGTAAGTTATCTTTTTATAATCTGCACTTTATATTTCGTAATCTGCAGGTTATTTTTATAACCTGCATGTTATTTTTTTATAACTTGAAAAAATAATGATTAAACTTAAAATTTTCTTAAAGTCAAATTCATGATTAATATCTTCTTTAGTGGACCCTACAACTCTCGAAAATTATTAATGTTCCTATGTATGACATGGTCATATGGTGCGTCATAATTAATCCTCTTTTTTTTCTTATGGTCCGTGATAAAAATTATTTAATCATGCACTGAGAAGTTTCATAGGTCATAAAATACATAACGATATAGGATTCATTCTTCATTTGTGAAACTTTACATAATTCACCTTCTAATTTCTTGTTTTACTATATTAGATGACCCACATTTAACGATATTTTGGAGAAACCAGTTTACAAGTAAACGGATAGAAAGATAGTATATAGTTATTTTTGTTAATTTCACGTGATTTTAGACAATGGTTTTCTGGGAAATCGTCTTTTAAAATATTTAGCATCCAATCATAGTTGAAAGCTATCATACACTAAAATAAATTTAATTGGTTGTTTTGTTTGTGATGAGTTTGAGATTCTAGCTTTACTAAAATCGTGTTATTAAAATTTATTTCACCTTCACATTCACAAACTGCACGACTGAAATAATTCCAAATGCCAAAATCAACAGAGATCCAGTGTTATACCACTGCCTCGCGGGAGATTGCATTTTAGGCGTTGCCTAAATGCGAGGCAAATTGTATTTGCTTGATTTTGTGATTAGGATTTCTCTTTCCATCATTTCATAGTTCGATACTCCATAGTCATAAAAATGCACTTTGAGAAATCAAACGGGTGTAATGGTAGGTGAGGGAACGCTGATTGGATGGACAGATGAAGTCTAGTTCAAGCCATTTCATTCTTCAGTGGTCCCCGGGATTGCCTTAATGAGCGAAAGGAATGAGTTCGTGAGGTGGACCACCTGAGATTACTTTGCACCGGGTATAGTAAGAGGCATGTTGATCTAGTAGTTTTCATTGACGTTGACCTCACACACTAACGCCGGCAAGAACAAAGGAGAAAGAGTATGAAAATTGTTTAATGTTGTGATTGGTTATGGGTTAAGGTTGGTATGTATCTAAGGATCCTACGCACCGAAAAACCTAAAACATATTTGAAAAAAAAAAAAAAGACTTAGAGCCCGTTTAGTTGGAGAATTCGTTCTCTGATTCGATTAGAGCCCGTTTGGTTAGAGGATTCGTTCTCTGATTCGAATCATGGTTCATGATTCGCTACAGTATTTTTTTTTACAAAAAACACGTAAATTGAAAATGATTATAACCTCATGATTTTAATCCATGAACCAAACGGGCTCTTAAAAGAGTATTTTAGGGGTTTTAAAAATTTTACTAATTAATCTGTTTCGTGGTCAATAGGGTAAAATTGAACCCTTAAGTTTAAATACGAAAAAAAAACAGAGGGTAAACTTTAATAAAAGGTGAAAATACAAAATTTTTCGTGTGTTGTAAAAAAAAAATAATAATAATAATAATAAAAGTGTATTAAAATCCAATATCCACAAAAAAAAAGGACACAAATCCAAAGAACCTACTCCAAAGTCAAAGATTAAATTCTTAATAAGCTTTGGATTCATTTTGTGTCCCATCACCATTTCTGGTTTGCAGTCAAATTAGTCTGTTTTGTCCCCTCTATTCTCAAGCGCTCTCTACAGAACCCCCTAACACTTTAGTTGACTTAACTTCACCAGAATACATCACAACAAACGTTTTCCCAACATGTTGAGAACATGGACATATATATGCACTTATCAATCTACAAAATTCTTTCCGGTTGTTGGGTTTGGTTGTGAACTGTGCAAGAAAATGGACATGAGATTCTTCTTTTTAAGCTTGTCTTTTGTTTTTGTTAAAATAGACAAACTGATAAAGTGGTCGGTAACTGTGTTTGGAGGGGCAAATGGAAATTTTTGGGTTATCTGAGGAATTGTTTTAAGTGGACCCAAAGAAAAGTAATGCAATTGATTGTGGAATTGAAGACGTCTGTTATTGCAACATCGTCTCTAAATAAAGCAAGATAACAAAATAAAGGTTGGTTTTCCCACTGTTTTCACTTGAAGATTGAGTTAAAAGTTTTGTGGAACTTTTATAATAGAAACTGTTTTATTTTTACTCTATTGGTAGTTAATGTTGTTTTAGTTGTTAGATTAGAACTTTTATGATAGAAACTGTTATATTTTTACTCTATTGGTAGTTAATATTATTTCAGCTGTTAGATTAGTCTTCTTAATAGTATATGACTCGTGAGTTAGATCAGTTTTGTGTCGTGAATTAATCCAACGGTTAAAACGACGTTTTTGCATGAGAGGTAAAACAACAATTTATAGTTGGAGAGCATCAAACAGTTCTTTTTTTTTTTTTTTTTTTTTGGGTTCTCGTATTATATGTACACAAAAGCATTTATGAAATTTAATGTTTTTTTAAGTACCAGTTGAGTGAGTTGGTTACTAATTACTTTCTTTTAGAAATTTTTAGTTTTAGCCATGTTGTGGGTTATGAAGGCCCAGCAGTCCAAAAGCTTTGTTTCATTTGGGCTTTCTTCATGAAGTTGCCCACTTTTGCTTATGGTTTTTGCCTTTTGGTTATGTTTAGTATAATTAAATAAAACATCACTTGTTAAGAAAAGGACCTCCATTCAAAAAGACATCTTTTAAAAAAATAAAAAAAAAGAAAGATGGGACCCACATAATAGTTTATATACTATTAGTAATACATCTTTAACCATGAAGACAGTGATAGTGTTGTTGTATCTACTAATTGACAATTACGTTTAGAAAAATGACAAACTTTCCAGCTGTGCCAAAAGCATGGTCAAATGTGGTACAAATCTTTCATCTAGTCACTTAGCAATAGAAGAATCACGTGTGGTCTTCACAACGTTGTAAGTAGTCCTAACAGTCTTAAATAGCAGCCAATTGAATATTATTAAACAATTCATGATTTTGCAGCAATATCATTAACAGCAAACCTTGTGTTACAGTGATATTTGGTCGTGCTTTTCTTGGGTATCATTTTGTGGGCTTCACATACAGTTTGTTAATTTTTTATTTGCTACTTTGCTAGGGCTTATGAGGACAAAAAGGTAAACTCAATAAACCATGATGAAAGACTTATATATGGGCCATCATAGTTGTTCAAGTTTGGCCAAGTTGTATCCTTATGGCCTAACAGATGTTATCTGGCAATTTACAGTGCAGCAGTGCCTATGGACTCTTTTTTTTTTTTTTTTTTTTTTTTTTTTTTTTTTTGTAAAAATCTATGCATTTTCATATTTGTCACTAAACAAATTTGCTGAATACTATGCATTTTCATATTTGTCACTAAACAAAGTGTTCTTTCCAGTGTTCTTTCCATTAAAAATAAAAAATACAAAACTAAAAAAATTGTTCTACAAACAGTAATTTATAGTTACTACTTTTTAAGTAATCAATGCTTCAAACTGGCTGCTGAAGATTTATAACCAATGAGGAAAAGCTATTGCATAAATTGCATATATATAGAAGTAGACCTGAAAATTGACTACTGAAAACTGAAAAGAATACAATTACCAACTGCACAAAGAAGATGTTATTTTATTATTATTATTAATTTTTTTTATATAAAAACATGCATCTCATTTACAAGGAAGCATATTTATCAAAAAAAAAAAAAAAATTACAAGGAAGCATAGCTGCCAAAAGTTTCATACAGATTTAAAAAATAGAAAAAGAAATATGAAAAAGATGACCAAACGAAAATCATTTGGATAAAACAACTGCTACAAATCTCCTTCGCCTTTGTGAAGTAATGGACCAAAAAAGAATTAAAAAAAGAATGAAATATACAGAAAATCTTGTCAGATATGTAAATTACAATGCTGAAGTATAGGTCTCCCACAGCTCTTTATTTTTTTGGTGTGATTTACATTGTCATAGTGCCATTCCACTCTTCAAATTCTGATCCAACAAGCATACAATCTCCGACATACTAGGCCGCTCGCGGGGATTCTCCCTCAGAGCAAGCTCTGATATGTCAGCAAGTTTAAGCAATGGCTCCACATTTCTTGGAAGAGCCACATGCCTGTCTATAATGACTGCTGCTTTGCCTCTTCTTATCATTGGCAATGCCCAATCAACAATGCCCGGAGGGTTGCAATCCCGGTCGAAAGCTTTCCTTCTGCTCAGAATCTCTAGCAGGACTATCCCAAAGTTGTAAACATCACCTTGCAAATCTCCTTTCAAATCCTTGTCAGAAGTACTCAACATGCCAAAATCCGAAATCCTCGCCCCCCATTCCGAGTCCAAAAGGATATTTGAGGTCTTCACGTCGCAATGAATGACTGGGGGTTTTACTTTCTTGTGAAGATACTCAAGCCCTTTTGCTGCCTGCAATGAGATCTTCAGCCTTAGGCTCCAATCCAGAGGCGAAAGCTCACCGTGGAGATGGTCATGAAGCGTTCCATGTGGCATGTACTCATAAACCAACAACCTCTCCCCCATTTCAGCACAATAGCCTAACAAGTTGACAATATTGGTGTGCCTCATGTTGCAGAGAATTTCGAGTTCCACCTCGAATTCCTTGATGTTGGTGTGAATTATGGTGGCGGCATTGGCCCTCTTGACTACTACTTGACTTCCATCAGACAGAACAGCTTTGTAGACAAACCCGAAGTTTCCCCTTCCTAGCTCATTGTATTCCTTGAATCCATGTGTGGCGTCTTTCAATTCTGAGAGCCTGAACACTTGGGTTGTTCCGATGCACGAAGTTATCGAGAGAGATGGCTGCAAATTCATTTCAGGGTCAGCCTCCACCACCTGCTTTTTCGCGCAAAAGTTGCACCACATTCTACCCTTTTCTTCACTCTTGGTTCTGAAGATCCAAGTAAAGAGAAACCAGCAGATCAAAAGTAGTAATGAGCACGAGACTAAGGACCCAACGATGATTATTAATTTCCTTATGATCTCTTGCCTTTCCTGCTCTCGAATCCCGAAGGACGACGACGAGGAAATCTTGCAGATTTCCCAACAAGAACTGTTCTGGCAAAGTGAACAAGCAGTGCAAACTCTATCAGCATTTTCACTACAAACACTTGAAGGAAAGTAGCCTTCAGAACAATTTGTCCCACAAGGCAAGCAAATCTTCATATCCTTTCTAGCGCATAAACTGGTCAAACCAGGCTCATTCAAAGCACTGGCATTGAATGCAAACTTCCCTGCAGAGCACGAGCCCGGAGAACAAACACCCGGGCTGCACAACTGCAAAGGCGGGCTATAATCCGGCGAGGACTGCCCGTGAACACCCCAGCAATCAAGCACCAAGTCAACCTCTCTAACCCCACAAGTGGTGAAATCTGAGGAAGCAATCGCCATAAACCCCGAACCCTTAGGAATCGACGAGGAATCGATGCTTCCCCAACATTGAACACCGTGATCATCCGCGCGGATGCCACAATAATGCCGCGAGCCTACTGATAGGCTCACGAAACGAGTCCCGTTCGGAGGGGAACCGAATTCATTAGCCTCACCCCAACATTCTACTTTCTCAGACGCAGAGGCAATTCCACAAACAGATTGCTTACCCGAAGCCAAGGACTTGAAATTGCCCGAAACCTCGAGATTTCCCGATTTCGGTCCCCAACAAATGACACCACCACCATCTCTAACTACACCACAACTAAATCCCTCCCCAGAAACCACACTCCTAAAGACAACACCATCAATGGAACGACCACCAGAAAAGGACTTAAACACAACGTTCGAAATCGAACCGAACTGCCAACAATCGACGGTACCCGCATCGGTTTTCGAGAAGTACTCGCCTCTGACGGCACAAACATGGTCTTTCCCTGACGCCATTTGAGAGTAAGAGACGTGCTTGTAAGCTTCAGGGACGAGATCCGTACCTGAATAGGCCAGGCTCCAACAATAAGGCCTCGAGTCCTTCGACGTTACGCCGCACATGAACCCGTCCCCGCCGGAGAGAGAGACAACCGGAGGGAGGGAACTGAAATAAGTCGTTGAAGATGACTTGTTCTGCTTGTCCCAGCACACGATCTGTTGCTTCCCGCTCGCGTCGATGGCGCAGAAGAACCCCTCCTCGCTGAACCCCGCCGCAATCGGGCCCGCCGACCCGTACCCGAATGCGAAAGGAAGAAACGGAAGAAGAACGAGAAGGAGACAAAAATGGGAAATGGAAGTGCAATAAGGACAGCTTTGGATTGGTATTCCCATTACTTTTTCTGGGTTTTGGTTAAAGAAGTTTGTTCTGTTTTTACATATGAAAATTTTTGTGTTTTGGTTATGGAATTTGAGATTGGTGAGAAGCCATTTTTATTTTTTGTTTAGAGGTTTCCTTGGATGTCTGACAGTTATGGAGTCAAAGAGAAGTGTCTGACTTGAAAGAAAAGTAGTTAATTCCAAGTTAACTGTAATTTAAAATTTCAAAAAACGCCAGCTGTCTTCTTCCCTAAACAATAATTAAACTGCTATCATATGCCAATATGCCTCACTGGGTTTTATTTTTTTATTTAGTTTTCATTTATTTATTTATTTATTTTAGTATTGAACTTGCAAATTTTAACATTGTATGTACGGATTTAATTAACTCTCTCTCTTTTTTCTTTTTCTTTTCCTTAGATCCAAGACCATTAAATGAAGGGATCAAGCAAGTTGTAGTGTTGGAATATTAATATAAATATTATATGGCTTTTGTATATCAAAAAATTATTATATTGATTTTTATCTCCAAATTTCCTTTGACTTTTATTCAAACCTCTAGTGCAATCTCCAACTTACATTAGTAATTTATTTTCCCCTTAAATTTGTCTTAAAACAGACGTACAGCTTCATTAATTTTGCATGTTTGCTCCACTAGATTCCGAAGTCACATTATCAACTAAGGAATTTCATATATCAATTTCTAAGGGGACAAAAAGTTATGTTAGATTCCAAAGTTGTGTACTATATAATAATACAAATATTGAGTTTGGCTCTTATTTTAAGACTGTAAAATCAATGAACAAATGGTGTTAATGATGTTACAAAGAGTCATGAGAACAATTAATTCATAATCCATAAAAAATCATATATTATTACATGGCTCTCATTTTTAAGGTTGTACTAATAAGTGAAGGAATTGATCAGATGTAATGCTGACATAAAAGATCATGAAAAAAATTTATTTACAACAATTCGTACAAACTATCCTAATTTATTGAATATGGCCTACAAAGTTCTAATAAGGTACACACTGAACAGAAAAATTGCAACCATTATAGTTTTGCTTTGATACGACACATGATAGTAACAAAATAACGTAGACTATTTTAATTGAAGTGAATGTGTTAGTTCTTTATCTTCTTATCTGCATTTCTATTTGTTTAGTTAAATAAGACCATCTCCGATATAAATTCCAATACGAATATTATATATAGCGCAAAAAATTGTAGATATGATATATTTAATTTGTTGTTTTATTTTATATATTATATCTATTTTTTGTCATAATAAATTTTAGGATTTAAAACTTGTAAATTAAACTTCTTAATTTCTTAGGATTTAAAACTTGTAAATTAAACTTCTTAATTTAAAAAAAAAATTGAAAATGATGATGATGATGATGTTGTAATTATTAATTGAAAAAGATAACAAATTGGTTAATCAAATGCAGAAAATTGAAATATACTACTTTTGTTGTTAAAGTTGACAAGTGCCGAATTTGATAAATTTCATATTACATTTAGCATAATATTGAAGTATGTGACAAAATTTGGCATTGAATTGGTGATAGTTCTAGACCAGTTGCAAATGCCAAGGTCATATATGGGATTTTCTAGATGATGAAAGAAGATTTTATTGTTGTGAAAAGGTACTATATACGTAGACCCCAAGAGTAATGCCAAGAAGAAGAAGAAGAAGAATAAGAAGAAGAAGAAGAAAAACAGGTTGTGTGTAAGGCAGATGACACCAGCTTTGCCGAGGTCCATTTGAGTCTGGCTTCTTGTCTTTCTGTCTACCAAAACCAAATTGCGGTCCGAACAATTAAACTAAATCATTAAGGTGGTTGGTTTACAACTTTTTTTTCATATATATATATATATATATATTTTTTTTTTTTTGGGAAGTATACCTTCAAGGAAAGATCTCAAATCCACATGTATCCAGACCACAATAAATCATATCCTGCTATGGGAAAGTCATTGCCATGCATTTGCCTGCTAAGGAGAAGCATGAGGAATTAGGATCCTAGAATTGTCATTATCTATACAAGTTTTTTATGCCAAGAAAATATTTTGGAACATGGGCTTGCCTTGCTTGTGTTCCTAATGTCTTTGTGATAATGTGATCCCATTGACCATGTCACCATATTAATAAATGTTGTTTGCCCAGAAAATGGAACCCCAATTGTGAGAGTTTGGAGAACTAGAGAAGGGAAAATATTAAGGAAGTCTTGATCTTCCACAGATTTCATGTTTTGCAAAGTGCATCTCTAAGAAGTTATTAATATTTTAGAGATAAAAAACCTTCTGATTTTGATGTCTTTTGTCTCTAACAGAGGACATTTTTTAAATCTCAAGCAATTCCAATTATATAATATAATGTTGATCCTTAATTTGACTGGTTTTCATAAAATGATACTTTGATGATTTGATCCTTAATAGAGATAACATGACATATGGGTATTTTATGTCCAACTTGCTTGAAGTTTCCTATCAACTGGAATTTTAAAAACACCAAAAATTATTAAAAGTGACAAAGAAAAAGTATTTGTTTTGTAAAATGATTTTAAAAAGTAAGGCTTATGGAGTACATGGATCCGTACTCTTGTTAAGTCAATGGAGACAATAGCTAGGAACTCTTTTTGGATTAATAATTCATAAGCAAGCCAGACGATTCTCTTCTTCTTTAATCAATATTTAATTGGTTGCCTAACCATCAGATGCTTCTACGTTTTGCTTAACCTCTTTACCCGCATATAACGTAGATTCTTTGTTGTAAAATATTACTCGTTTTCCATGCACTATATTTTGATTTCCGTTATCTTGTTTATTTTACGAGAAAGGGTATGGAACGTTATCAGATTCTTCAGTTAATTTTGTCTACATTTTCATCAAAATGTGATTTTGAATAAATTTAATATTAGTATCGGGTGATTATAAGATTGTATATAAATCCGAACAACTTATAAATTCAATCCACCCACCCTAATCTAATCCGAAAAAGGTAACTTATAGCATTATTTTTTATTTTTCGGCCCACTAAATATTTGGCTCGAAGTGTTTAGGACAGTTTGTGGGTTGAACCTATAATAACCCGTATATCCCAACCTAATCCGCACAAACATGCCTAATAAGGAGCCTATGAGTGTGGACTAATAATGATGGTTGTTGTAGTGCTTGCTTTGGATGGATTTAAATTAAGCCTCTAATTTATGTTTGCTTTATGTCTGATGTTGGATTGATTACTTTACTTCATGTTTGATGTTGGATTAAACTTTCAATTACTATTTATTTGATGATTGACTAATAAGTGTTATTTCTATTTGATGATGAACTTTGAATGTTGGAGTTATGTTTGATTATCAATATTTATTTATATTTAATGATGAACTTTGAATGCTGGAGTTATTATTTATATTTGATGATGAACTTTAAATGTTGAATTGAACTTTGATTCTTTGAATGATGAACCCGACCACCTAACTCACCTCGTCCCGCCCCAACCCAACCCAAACATCATTAGATTGTGAAAATTTTCTAACATCATTGGGGCTAAATATATGCAATCTGCACCCTTTAAGGCGAGACAAGAAAAAATCCTATCCCACACCAACTCAACCTATGTACAACCCTAGGTGATTTTATAATTTTTTTCTCAATTAATATGGAAAACTCGTCCATATAATTGTTAGAGTCAAATTCTGTTTCAACTCCAAATCAACTAAGTTAATCTTGCCCTTTTTCTCTCTCTAAAGTTTCAATGAGTGAAAATTGCGGAAAAAGATCCATTCGCGGTTCGCCTTCATGCTTTTTGCGGAAAGGTAAAAGAATTTTTTCCTGGAATTTTCACTCACTAAGGCTCCGTTCATTTCACCGATTTGAATTTAGAATTCGAGTTTTGTTACAGTAAAAAGTTCTCAGAAATAGTCACAACTAACTTTTTTACTACACTAAAAAGCTCTCACATAAAGTCACGTCTCAACTTGAATTAAAAACTCGAATCAACGAACTAAACGGGCCCTAAAACTTAATAAATAAATAATAATAAAAAGTTTTACTGAGAGTAGAGATGTCAAGGGCGGGTAAAACGGGCCCCACCCAGAATAGTACGGGTCTGACCCGTATAAATGGGTTACGGGAGAGGGTCATGAACCATTAATATGCGGGGCGGTGATGGGGCGGGACGAACCAGACCCGCCCCCATTTACTTGAAAAAATAAAAATAAAAAACCAATACCTATCCTCTCTCTCAGTGCGGAAGATCTGTCGACGATCGGAGGAATCGCGACAGTGTCGCTTCTCCACTCGTTCATCCCCACGCATTGGCTCCCATTCTCCATCGTCGGCCGTGCCCAGAAATGGACTCTCTCTCGCACTCTCTTCGTCAGTGCGTTCTCCATTTCGTTTTTTCTTCTAGATCTATGGCTTCCATTGTCTTGTCTCTTTGCTCTTCAGTTTCTTCTTTCCAATTCTGCTTGTTTTTTTTATTTATCTCTGTTGATTATTCTTCTTTCAAGCATTTTTACAAACAGTTTGTCTGGATTGGAAGAATCTGTCGCGAAAGGATGAATATTTGCGCGTTTTGTCCTTTTTATTGGCTTGACATGCACTCCACTGATTCTTTACTTGGTGATTTGAATAGTAATTTACAGTATGAATATTTTATGCCATTTCTGAAATACCGCATACGAGTAGTAAATTATTCTTGTTTCTTCAAACGACGAAGAGGCCACATTTTTTTTTTTTTTGGTAAATGGCCCACCCGCACCACCCTATTGACATCTCTCTGATTTAATTGATTTAGGATTCATTTAATTAGTTAATTTAAATTTTTAATTAAAATTAAAATATAATTTTATATGAAAATATTTTATTATAATAAAAAAATTAAATAAATTCAAATTTATAAAAATAAAAGGGTCTTAAAATTATTTAACAATATTTATTTATCAATCATTACAGAGGAAGAAGGAGTTTCTCTCAAACCTTCCCAACAAAACGTTTCGTTGGGTTTTTTTTTTCCTTTCTTTTTGTCCAAGTGTCCGACTGGTTTTTTTTTTTTTTTGTCACCGTCAACTTCTTCTTTGAGGTTTTTTCTTTTTCTCTTTGTTTAAAAATCTCTATTTTTTGACAATTAAATTTAAGATTAATCATTATTTTAAGAGTATTTATATTCATCTTCATAGGATAAAATCTCAACGCTCATATAAAGTGGGTCCAACTAGGTTGTCACTTTGTTAGTGATGAGTTTTATCCATGTGAGGATTTTTTTTTCTTTGGAATGGCCTTAGGAATTTGTGAAGCATTGTGGTTAAAATTTCTCTTACAGGACCTAGGCTATTCTTTAAAGCAACCAATTTAGCTATACTGTGACAACAAAGCAGCATGTGATATAGCCATAATCCAGTTCAACATGACCGTACAAATCATGTTGAGGTAGATAGGTTCTTCATTAAGGAGAAACTGGATGAAAAAGTTGTGGAATTATCAAAGATTCGATCAGAAGATCAGTTAGCTGATATCCTTACCAAAGGGGTATCCAATCGAGTGTTCTCAAAATTCTTAGACAAGTTAGGCATGTGTGATATCTATGCACCAACTTAAGGGGGAGCGTTGAGATTGTCAACGATTTTGTAAAGATAGCCAACTGATGTTATTTTCGTATATAGAAGATTGTATAGATGTGTACAGATCATAGAGATTGAATAAGAGATTGTATAAGTAGATTTCTAGGGAACTAATTCGGGATTCTAACCCTATTTATACTATGTATTTCATCAGCCTATCGTGAATAACAAATACACCAGTTTATCATATTCATTTTCAGATTTGTAGAAAAAAGATAAATCTCAAACAATTCAATTTGCACAACACAAACAAATACTAGTACATTAATCAACAAATCTTTAATAATTGGAACACATCATAAACCCGAATTTTTTTTTATTTTAGCTGGAACACAAATCAATACGTAAAATGCCCAGATCATGACATTTCAAATAGCTAGAGCAATATAATTCTAAGATCTAATGTAGGAGTACGATTTAATCCATTTAGAAAAATAAGGAAAAAAGAATTAATAGACTATTTAATAAGATCTTCGCCTGCAGACTTCCCTTTGAGAATGAAGGCCTCCCTCAAGCACATGTTCATGAAGTTGGATTTCGCAGAAGACTGTTTCCAACTAATTTTTTTAACTCTCTCCAACTCGGCTTCACGGTTCGCCTTCTCTAGCTTAGTCTTACCAATATCTTCCTCTAGGCGCGCAATCTTTTGCTCCGCTTCCTCAGTTTCTTTGGCCAGTCTTTTCGGCGCCTCAATTTAAAGTAAGCGCAACTAAGTTGTCTTAAACATTCAAATAAAAAATTGATTTGGAAGCCCAAACTTTTGAGACACATGACCTGGCGACACCATTCCTTAAGAAGATCTTCATTTCATGTACCTTACCCTGGTCTTACTCATGCTATGTATGAGTGTACATAAAAAGGTATAACAAAGGCTAACCACTTCTGCTTTCAAATTTGATGGGTGGAGACCATTACAATAACGAGCGAGAACCATTTGTAGAATCGGAGCCAATATCCAAGGAACAACATAACTCCCAACTTTGACCCTCTCCACATCAAACCTGTAAATGAATTTTAGTGTCAAGATTCTATCGTTGTCATAAAGAAGACAATTAGAGAAGCATCATATTCATATGGTCAGTAATTTATATAAGCAACCTTGTTATATTAAATTAATATGTCTAAGACGTTATTAGAAATCATATTAATGAAAACAAATTGACTATAATAAATTGTGATTAATTAGCACGTCGTCCAGCTTTAATATTGTTATGCTATTAATTCCAGCAAAGGAAGACAACTAGCAAAACAGTCAATAAGGCGTTCATTAAGTAATTCTCTTCCCAAACGGCGTTATTTAAGTATTTATCCTTCTGATCTTTATCTGTATCGCTTCAAATTTTGGGGTCTTTTGCATTGATGCATCTTGAACTTATCGGTGTTTCGGTAACTCAAACTTTCATCTAAAAATTTTTGGTAAACAGAGATATCGAATTTCAAAATCTGTTGCAAATATGGTTTAAAACCTAACAAATGTCAATTAATAAAGAAAATTATAAAAAAATAGAATATTCATAAAAAAAAAATAGTGCCACTTGTTGCATTAATTTCTAAAAATCGTATATTAATTTTAAAATGCAAAACATAAGTAAACATGTAAATTTTTCACACATCCCGGCCCTTGGGTGCCTCACTACGCGGGCCAGTGACTTTTTGAAAGCGTTTTACTTTTTTGTCATTTTTTGAGGCTATTTTTTGCAGACATAGCCAGAAAATGTAAGGATCGTGTTTGCAATATTTCAAAATTTTTTTACCTCGTTTTTATTTTATTTTATTTTTCAAAGATGAAAAATAAAAAAAATCATAAAAAATAAAATATTCATCAAAAAATGGTGCCGCTTGTTGCATTAATTTCTAAAAATCATATATTAATTTTAGAATACAAAATATAAATAAAAATGTAAATTTTTAACCCATTCCGGCCCTTGGGCGCCCTACTACTTTTTGACAGCTTTTACTTTTTTTGCCATTTTTGAGGTCATTTTTTGCAGACATTCTCAGAAAAATGTAAGGATCGTGTCTGTAAAATTTTAGAATTTTTTGACCTCGTTTTTCTTTTATTTTATTTTTAAAGATGAAAAATAAAGAAAATCATAAAAAATAGAATATTCATCAAAAAATTGGGCTTCTTGTTGCATTAATTCATAAAAGTCATATATTAATTTTAGAATGCAAAACATAAATAAAAATGTAAATTTTTTACCCATTTCGGCTCTTGGGTGCCCCATTACGCAGGCTGGGGGCTTTTGGACAGTGTTTTTCTTTATTTTTGTCATTTTTTGTTGGCATGCCCAAAAAATGTAAGGATCATGTTTATAAAATTTCATAATTTTTTGATGTCATTTTTATTTTATTTTTTTTCCAAAGATGAAAAATAAAGAAAATCATAAAAAATAGAATATTTATCAAAAAATAGTGTTGCTTGTTGCAATAATTCCTAAAAATCTTATATCCATTTTAGAATACAAAACATAAGTAAAAATATAAATTTTTGACCCATCTCAACCCCTGGGCGCCCCACTAAGCGGGCCGGGGGCTTTTTGACAGCGTTAAACTTTTTTTGTCATTTTTTCAGGCTATTTTTTGTAGGCATACCCAGAAAAATGTAAGGATCGTGTCTGCAAAATTTCATAATTTTTTGACATCGTTTTTATTTTATTTTATTTTTCAAAGACGAAAAATAGAGAAAATCATAAAAAAAAATAGAATATTCATCAAAAAATGGTGCTGCTCTTTGCATTAATTCCTAAAAATTATAAATTAATTTTTGAATGCAAAACATAAGTAAAAACATAAATTTTTGACCCATCCGGCCCCTAGGCGCCCCATAACACGGGTTGGGGGCTTTTTTGACAGCGTTTTACTTTTTTGTCATTTTTTGAGGCCATTTTTTGTACGCATACCCAGTAAAATGTAAGGATGGTGTCTACAAAATTTCATAATTTTTTGACGACATTCTTATTTTATTTCTTTTTGTCAAAGATGAAAAATGAATAAAATCATCAAAAATGGAATACTCATCACAAAATGGTGCTGTCTGTTGCATTAATTCCTAAAAGTCGTATATTAATTTTAGAATACAAATCATAAGTAAATATGTAAATTTTTTACCCATCTCGGCCCCTGGGCACCCCACTACGCGGGCCAGAGGCTTTTTGAAAGCGTTTTACTTTTTTGTCATCTTTTGAAGCCATTTTTTGCAAGCATATCCTTTAAAATGTAAGGATCGTGTCTCCAATATTTCATAATTTTTTGACCTCGGTTTTATTTTGTTTTATTTTTCAAAGATAAAAAATAAAGAAAATCATAAAAAATAGAATATTCATAAAAAAATAGTGCCGCTTGTTGCAATAATTCTTAAAAATCATATATTAATTTCAGAATGCAAAACATAAGTAAAAATATAAATTTTTGACGCATCCCGGCCCCTGGGCGCCCCACAACGCGGGCCAGGGGCTTTTTGAAAGTGTTTTATTTTTTTTTTATCATTTTTTGAGGTCATTTTTTGCAGGCATACCCAAAAAAGTATAAGGATCATGTCTGCAATATTTTCATAATTTTTTTACCTCAGTTTTATTATATTTTATTTTTTAAAAATGAAAAATAAAGAAAATGATAAAAAAAATAGAATATTTGGCAAAAAATGGTACCGCTTATTGCATTAATTCCTAAAAATTATATATTAATTTTAGAATGTAAAACATAAATAAAAGTTTATATTTTTTACCCATCCCGGCCTATGGGCGCCCCACTGCGCGGGCTGAGGGCTTTTTGACAGCCATTTAATTTTTGTATCATTTTTTTAGGTCATTTTTTGCAGACATTCCTAGAAAAATGTAAGGATTGTGTTTGTAAAATTTTAGAATTTTTCGACTTCATTTTGATTTATTTTATTTTTCAAAGATGAAAAATAAAGGAAATTATAAAAAATAGAATATTCATAAAAAATGGTGCTTCTTGTTGCATTAATTCACAAAAATCACTTGTTAATTTTAGAATACAAAACATAATTAGAAATGTAAATTTTTGACCAATTCCGGCCCCTAAGCGCCCCACTACGTGGAAATCGAATTAGACAAGGTCGTGTATGGCCGTTATCGTACATAGGAGATTAAGAGAAATATATAAAACAATGAGAAGAAGATGATATAACAGCTGATTTATTAGAAAATATATAATTAGTAGGTGGCATTTAAGTTAATTGTACATATCTTCAGCAAAAAAAAAAAAAAGTTTATTGCACATATATAACGTTTCAATAAACTAGAAATTGACAAATAAAATAATAAAAACACTTGAGAAGTAAATAAGTTGGTGCATGTGGCATGTTTGAATAAGCTCAAAAATAAATCAAGACTTGAATAAAGTTTTAAATATCAGAAAGTCAATAGTCAAATACAAATTATTTATTATGTAACACAACTTAGCTCAGATGCAGTCCTTTGGACCCCACCAAAGAATGGATGGTGCAATATGAGCCCTCTGATCTTCAACGGCGCAAACTCATCAACGGCAGCTGATGCACGTAGTCCTGCATGGTAGCTTATATTGCCACCAGCACTAGTGCCCATAAGGAAACACTTGGAGATATGAGCAAATTGGCGCAGCCACACGTCTTCAGTGGACTTTATCCAATGCAGCGCCTCCACCGCATCGTCGTAAGCGCCTCCACCGCATCGTCGTAAGCTGCGGGGAGCCGGTGCATGGGAGCAAGGCGGTAGTCAACGGAGACGACAGCTGCAGTGAGGTTAGCTGCCATTTTGGAGCAAAAATCATGGTTGATGGAAGAAGCAGTGATTAAGAAAATAAAGCCACCTCCGTGGTAGTACACAATAAGAGGGAGTTTTTTAGAGGGACCCATCCCAGCGCCTGGGCACCATACTACGCGGGCCAGGGGTTTTTTGACAGCGTTTTACTTTTTTGTCATCTTTTCAGGCCATTTTTTGTAGGCATGCCGAGAAAAATGAAAGGATCGTGCATGTAAAATTTCATAATTTTTTGACCTCGTTTTTTTTTTTTTTTTTCAAAGATGAAAAATAAAGAGAATCATAAAAAATAGAATATTCATTAAAAAATAGTACCGCTTGTTGCATTAATTCCTACAAATTATATATTAATTTTTGAATGCAAAACATAAATAAAAATATAAAATTTTGACCCATTCCGACCCTTAGGCGCCCCACTACGCGGGCTGGGGGATTTTTTGACAACGTTTTACTTTTTTGTCATTGTTTCAGGCCGTTTTTTGTACGCATGCCCAGAAAAATATAAGGATCGTGTCTGTAAAATTTCATAATTTTTAACGTCGTTTTTATTTTATTTTATTTTTCAAAGATAAAAAATAAAAAAAATCATCAAAAATGGAATATTCATCAAAAAATGGTGCCGGTTGTTGCATTAATTCCTATATATATATATATATTAATTTTAAAATGCAAAACATAAGTAAAGATAAATTTTTTTTTACCAATTCCGGCCCTTGGGCGCCCCACTACGCAGGCCAGGGGCTTTTTGAAAGCGTTTTATTTTTTTTGTGATTTTTTGAAGCCATTTTGCAGGCATGCCCTGAAAAATGTAAGGATAGTGTCTACAATATTTCATAATTTTTTGACCTCGGCTTTATTTTCTTTTATTTTTTGTAGAGGAAAAATTAAAAAAAATCCTAAAAAATGAATATTTATCAAAAAATAGTGCCACTTGTTGCATTAATTCTTAAAAATCATATATTAATTTTTGAATGCAAAACATAAGTACAAATGTAAATTTTTTACCAATCCCGGCCACTAGGCGCCCCACTACGCGAGCTGGGGCCTTTTTGATAGCATTTTATTTTTTTTGAAGCCATTTTTTGTAGACATTCCCAGAAAAATGAAATGATCATGTCTGTAAAATTTTAGAATTTTTTGACTTCGTTTGTATTTTATTTTATTTTTCAAAGATGATCAATAAAGAAAATTATAAAAAATAGAATATTCATAAAAAAATAGTGTTTCTGGTTGCATTCATTCATACAAAATCATATGTTAATTTCAGAATGCAAAACATAAATAAAAATGTAAATTTTTGACTCATTCCGGCCCTTGGGCACCTCACTACGCAGGCTGAGGGTTTTTTTAACAATGTTTTTATTTTTTTTTATTTTTTCAGGCCATTTTTTGTAGCATGCCCAGAAAAATATAAGTATTGTGTGTGTAAAATTTCATAATTTTTTGACTTCGTTTTTATTTTTCAAAGACAAAAAAATAAAGAAAATCATAAAAAATATAATATTCATTAAGAAATGGTGTCGCTTATTGTATAAATTTCTAAAAATCATATATTAATTTTTGAATGCAAAACATAAATAAAAATATAAATTTTTGACCCATCCTGGCCCCTGGGCTTCTAACTACGCGGGTCCGGAGCTTTTTTGACAGCGTTTTACATTCTTTGTCATTTTTTGAGGCCACTTTTTGTACACATGCCCAGAAAAATGTAAGGATCGTGTCTGCAAAAGTTCATAATTTTTTGATGTCATTTTTAGTTTATTTTATTTTTCAAACATGAAAAATAAAGAAAATATAAAAAATAGAATATTCATCAAAAAAATGCTGCCGCTTGTTGCATTAATTCCTAAAGATCATATATTATTTTTCGAATGTAAAACATAAATAAAAATTTAAATTTTTCACCCATTTTAGCCCCTGGGCGCCCCACTGCGAGGGCCGGGGGCTTTTTTGACAGCATTTTAGTTTTTTTTATCATTTTTTTGGCCATTTTTTGTACGCATGCCAACAAAAATGTGAGGATCGTGTCTACAAAATTTCATAATTTTTTGATGTCGTTTTTATTTTATTATTTTTCAAAGACGAAAAATAAAGAAAATCCTCAAAAATGGAATATTCATCAAACAATGGTGTCGCTTCTTGCACTAATTCTTAAAAATCGTATATCACTTTTGGAATGCAAAACATAAGTAAAAATGTAAATTTTTGACCCATCCCGGCCCCTGGGCGCCCCACTACTCGGGCTAGTGGCTTTTGAAAGCGTTTTACCTTTTTTATCATTTTTTTTTTGCAGGCATACCCAGAAAAATGTTAGGATCGTGTCTGCAAAATTTCATAGTTCTTTGACGTCGTTCTGATTTTATTTTATTTTTTAAAGACAAAAAATAAAGAAAATCATAAAAAATAGAATTTTCATCAAAAAATGGTGCCGCATGTTTCATTAATTCTTAAAAATCATAAATTAATTTTAGAATGCAAAACATAAATAAAAATGTAACATTTTGACCCATCCCGGCCCCTGGGTGCCCCACTACGCGGGTTGGGGGCATTTTGACAGCGTTTTTTTTTGTCATTTCTTTAGGTCATTTTTAGTAGGCATACCTGAAAAATGAACGATCTTGTATGCAATATTGCATAATTTTTTGACGTCGATTTTATTTTATTTTATTTTTTAAATATGAAAAATAAAGAAACTAATAAAAAACAAATATTCATAAAAAAGGGCCGCTTGTTGCATTAAATCCTAGAAATCATATATTATTTTTCAGATGTAAAACATAAATAAAAATGTATATTTTTTACTCATCACGGCCCCTGGGCGCTCCACTTCGCAGGCCAGTGGCTTTTTGAAAGTGTTTTACTTTTTTGTCATTTTTTGAGGCAATTTTTTACAGGCATACCCAAAAAATGTGAGCATTATGTCTGCAAAATTTCATATTTTTTGACATCGTTTTGATTTTATTTTATTTTTCAAAGACAAAAAATAAAAAAAAATTATAAAAAATAGAATATTCATCAAAACATGGTGCCGTTTGTTTCATTAGTTTCTAAAAATCATATATTAATTTTAGAATGTAAAACATAAATAAAAATATAAATTTTGGACCCATCTCAGCCCCTAGGCGCCCCACTACGTAGGCCGATGGCTTTTTGAAAGCGTTTCACTTTTTTGTCATTTTTTCTGGCCATTTTTTGTAGCCATGCCCAGAAAAATGTGAGGACCGGGTCTGCAAAATTTCACAATTTTTTGACATCATTTTTATTTATTTTATTTTTGAAAGATGAAAAATAAAGAAAATCATAAAAAAATATAATATTCATCAAAAAATAGTGTTGCTTGTTGTATTAATTCCAAAAAATTGTATATTAATTTTTTAAAGCAAAACATAAATAAAAATGTAAATTTTTGAGCCATCCAGGCCCCTGGGCACCCCACTACGCTGGCCAGAGGCTTTTTTGATAGCGTTTTTCTTTTTTGTCTTTTTTATGTAATTTTTGTGCACATGCCCAGAAAAATGTAAGGATCATGTCTGCAAAATTTTGGGCTTTTTTGTTGTCGTTTTGATTTTATTTTCTTTCTCAAAGATGAAAAATAAAGAAAATCATAAGAAATAGAATATTCAACAAAAAATGGTGCCGCTTGTTGCATTAATTCATAAAAATAATATATTATTTTTTTGAATGTAAAAGATAAATAAAAATATAAAGTTTTGACCCATCCCGGCCCTTGGGCGCCCCACTACGCGGGCCGAGGGGTTTTTTCACAGCGTTTTATTTTTTTGTCATTTCGTGAGACCATTTTTTGTATGAATGCCCACAAAAATGTGAGGATCAGGTCTGCAAAATATCTTAATTTTGTGATGTTGTTTTTGTTTTATTTTATTTTTTAAAGATGAAAAATAAAGAAAATCATCAAAAGTGGAATATTCATCAAACAATGGTGCTGCTTGTTGCACTAATTCCTAAAAATCGTATATTACTTTTAAAATACAAAACAGAAGTAAAAATGTAAATTTTTTACCTATCCCGGCCCCTGGGCGCCTCACTACTCGGGTTAGTAGCTTTTTGAAAGTGTTTTACTTTTTTTTATCATTTTTTTGCAGGCATTCTCAGAAAAATGTTAGGATCGTGTCTGTAATATTTCATAGTTCTTTGACGTCGTTTTGATTTTAGTTTATTTTTTAAAGACCAAAACTAAAAAACTAAAAATAAAAAATAGAATATTCATCAAAAAATAGTGCCGTTTATTTCATTAATTCCTAAAAATCATATATTAATTTTAGAATGCAAAACATAAATAAAAATGTAAGTTTTTGATCCATCCGGGCCCCTGGGCGCCCCATTGCGCGGGCCGGGGGCTTTTTAACATCGTTTTATTTTTTTTTATCATTTTTAATAGGCATACCCAGAAAAATTAAAGATCTTGTCCGCAATATTTCATAATTTTTTGACATCGGTTTTATTTTATTTTATTTTTTAAAGATTAAAAATAAAGAAAATAATAAAAAAACATAATATTCATAAAAAATGGGGCCGTTTGTTGCATTAATTCTAAAAAACCATATATTATTTTTCAAATGCAAAACATAAATAAAAATATAAATTTTTGACCCACCACGGCCCATAGGCATCCCACTTCACGGGCCAGTGGCTTTTTAAAAGCATTTTACTTCTTTTTGTCATTTGTTGAGGCCATTTTTTGTAGGCATTCCCAGAAAAATGTAAGGATCGTGTCTGTAAAATTTCATAGTTTTTTTACATCGTTTTGATTTGATTTGATTTTTCTAAGGAAAAAAATAAAGAAAAACATAAAAAGAAGAATATTCATCAAAAAAATGGTGCTGCTTGTTGCATTAATTCTTAAAAATTGTATATTAATTTGAAATTCAAAACATAAGAAAAATGTAAATTTTTTACCCATCCTGGCACCTGGGCGCCCCACCACGCGGGCTGGGGGCTTTTTGACAGCGTCTTATTTTTTTGTCATTTTTTCAGGCCTTTTTTTGTAGCCATGCCCAGAAAAATTGGAGGATCGTGTATGCAAAATTTCATAACTTTTTGACGTCATTTTTATTTATTTTATTTTTTAAAGATG